TACTAAATGACTAACGTGTAGCTGAAGAAATGAAAATCAAGAACCTTCTTGAAGAAAATGATGCTGCTGTATGATCTATGAGTCACTGAATGATTTAATCAGAAGAAAGTGTTTTGAAGAGATGAAACTAACAGAAAACAACAAAACCCATGTGATAGAGTTTCTGCTGATCTTTGTTGGAGTGTGTCTCCTCCCGACAATAAACAGATGGGTTTTTATTTTTAATCCAGTCTACTAATTATGAAGTTTGATTGAGCTTAAGCCATTTGCATTCAGAGTTAAATATACATAGGTGGTGCTTTGGTCCTGTCATTTTAGGAATGGGTTGTTCATTGGTTTAGTCTTCTGTTGATGTTTTACTGGATGTTCTTCCCCTTTGCCTTTGGTTTTGGTAGGTGCTATTCCTCTTCTCTGTCAAGAGAACACCTTGAAGTATCATTTGTAGGGCAGGTTTGGAAGAGGCAAATTCTTTTAGCTTTTCTTTACTGTGGAAGAATTTTATTTCATTTTCAAAGATGAAAGAAAGATTTGCTGGATATGTTATCCTAGGCCGACAATTTTTTTCTTTTAGAATCTGGAATATGTCACCCCATTCTCTTCTTGCATGTAGAGTTTCCTGTGAGAGATCTCCTGTGAGCTTAATTGGCATTCCTTTATATGTCAATTGATTTTTTTTTCACGTGCACATTTAAGAATCTTTTCCTTATGTTCAATTGAAGAGAGCTTGGTGATCATGTATCTTGGAGATCGCTTTTGATCAAGCCTGTTGGGAATTCTGTGCCCCTCCAGCATCTTGTTTCTCCATTCTTTCTCTAGATTAGGGAAATTTTCCTTGATTATTTCATTAAATACATTTGCAAACTCAGCTTCTCTTTCTGCACCTTCCGGGACTCCCATAACTCTTATATTTGGCCTCTTAATAGTGTCTTTCAATTCTTGAATACTTTTTTTGGCCTGATCCAGTTCTGCTTCAGCTTTTTTTTTGCTTGTCCCTGGTGACAGGAAATATCTGCCAATTCTGAGATTCTTTCTTCTGCTTGCTTCATTCTACTTTCGAGACTCTCCATTGTACTTTTAATTTGCTCTACTGTGTTCTTAATTTCTGATATGTCAGCCTTGATTTGCTTTATTGCTTCCTTAAGTTCTTTGAACTCTTGTATGTGTTTCTCATTTTTAACCAGAATCTTTAAAATGAGTTTTGTGAATTCTGTATGCCCCATTTTCTCGATGTCTTCCTCTGTTAACTCTGAGGTTGGCATAGGGTTTTGCTCCTTTGCAGGGGAGTTTTTGGTAATATTCATGGTGCCTTTGTCTTTCTTTTGCTCTTGATCATTGTTCTTCTGGTTAACAGAGTCTTCTTCTTGGGGCAGGTTTCTAAGCTGTGTCACCCACAGGTCTACATTGCGATTTTACTTGTTGCAGTTGGTACACAACTGTTTGCTTACAGCCACTTGTGTGTCGACCTCCAGCGAGTTCCAGGTCTGGGTTCATGTGTTAGGTTTCCAACATGGTCTCCATAGCCCCAGCTCCTGGCTTACCATTCTCCTCCTCCTGTGATACCGTGCTGAGGCTGCAGTATTGTCTGTACAACCTTTTTCCCACTTCCAGTTGGAGCAGGTCCCAGGATTAGGGAGACACCAGGTGTTCTATAGAACTAGGTTGTTGGGTGTGGTGATCTTGCCAGAACCTGTTGGACGTTAGTTCTGGGTGCCACACTGACCTATTTTGACTCATGATGCCACAGTCAGCATTATTTTCCTGTGGGACCAGTGCAATTCGCTGAACTCAGTGAGTTCTTGCGAGCTCAGCACATGTGCAGTTCACTATTATCCCCTTCAGTCTTAAAGTTATTGCCACAGTATACAAAACAGCGCCTGGCATACCACTACTAGAGTTCTTGATCTGCTGGCCGTCAGATCTGAGGGCTACCCAGACCTGTTTTGGGTGGAACCTATAGAATGCCACGTCGCTGCAGTTCACTGAGTCAGAAATGAGTCACTCCCAGCTCAGCACATGCTCAGTCCTTTCCCTTGCCTTTGCCTCCTTACACAAAATGGCGCCCAGTTCGGCTCTAGGATGCAGACTGGACTGTTCTCGCACTGCCCGTCTGGGATCTGTTGCCTTGTCTCTGCTGCTGGTCAAATCAAATGGATCAGCAGGACAGACAGTTCTTTGTCTGTGTTTACCTCCCAAGCCCCAGTGAAAATCCCTTCCCACCTGGTTGCTGGTAGAGTTCCGGCTGCTGGTAGATTTCAGATCGTTAGCTGAATGCTGCTGGAGTATCAGTCACTGCAACACCACACCGTTGTGCCTGCTGCTTTCCTGTGTCTGTTAGTCTCCAGGTACCCCTCTGCTGTTGTTCTGTCATTTCCTATTTCCTGGAATATGTCCTCCCTGCTTCATCCTGATTAAATATTTTCCGTCCGTTGAAATGTGTCCTTACCCTATTCCGCCATCTTGATTCTCTGAGGCATTACTTTCAACAAAGGGTTTCTGTAGATTTATTACACTTCAACAGTGTCTTTAATGTGCTTATAAATTTTGTAAGTTTTGGTGATATTTACATAGTTAAGGATGCATGCTCATGTGGACCACTGATTAGAGTGGAGGAATGGAGGAAAGTGGGTAAGACAACTGTTTTCAATCTCCTTTTGTTCACGTATCTGGGGAAAATGGGGAGAGGGATGTCTCAGCAGCCCAGCCACATCACTGCCCTGGATGGGGGACAGGCACCTGATATCCTAAGGTCCCCAGTGTGGAGCATATTCTGAGGGTACAGCTAAAGTGGTTTTCCTAGTTCTGAAATACTGTTGACTTTGTTGCCCAAGGTTGAGGAAATACTACTAAGGTCCACTGGGTGACATGGTCAACCTTATAGTCAGTGTGCCCAATACTTGCTGTCAAGTTTTGGCTGTCAGATCTCAGTTTGTTCTGCACTCCATGGTACTAGATGTCCTCTGCAGACCTCAGTGAACTGGGTGTCATGTACCCCAAGCTCATCTGGGCATTCAGTCCACTGCACAGACTTCAACAGCTGAGGAAACCAGTCCTGACATATATACTCTATGGTCAGACCACAGATCTTGTAATTTCCCTCATAGTTGGAGTTTTGAGTCCAGTGGTCCAGATCCTGCTGGTGTCCCCACATCTGTACCCCAAATATCTTTTTAAAAAGGCAAGGGCCTGGCGGCGTGGCCTAGCAGCTAAAGTCCTCGCCTTGAACGCACGGGATCCCATATGGGTGCCGGTTCTAATCCCGGCTGCTCCACTTCCCATCCAGCTCCCTGCTTGTGGCCTGGGAAAGCAGTTGAGGATGGCCCAAAGCTTTGGGACCCTGCACCCATGTGGGATACCCGGAAGAAGTTTCTGGCTCCTGGCTTCGGATCGGTATAGCATCAGCTGTTGCGCTCACTTGGGGAGTGAATCATTGGATGGAAGATCTTCCTCTCTGTCTTTCCTTGTCTCTGTATATCTGACTTTCCAATAAATAAATACATCTTTAAAAAAAATAAAAAAATTTAAAAAGACGACTATATTGGCAAACTGGTATAATTAACACAAATTTGGCATTAACAGGTTCCCAATGCCTGCCAGCTATTAGCTCCTTTTCTCCCGGCAGTTTAACATGTGCCTAGGTACAACCAACCTAGACAATGGCTTACAGCTGGGGTGTATTTTTGACTTTTAAAAAACTTTTTTTTCATTTTTATTTGAAAGCGTGACAGAAAGAGAATCTCCTGTATGATGGTTCACTTCACAGATACCTTTGATGGTCATGGCTGGGCCTGGCCAAAACCAGGACTTCAGGAGTCCATCCAAGTCTTCCAAATGAATGGTAGAGACCAAATTCTTGAGCCACCATCATCCTGTTGCCTATATATATATGCATATATACCATGATGTCAAATAACAAAATTAGGGACCAGATGGTGTAATTGAAAATAATTACTACAGAAAAAATATAAGAAAATTGTATTTTGTACTGTAATTTTTCTGTGATCTTTAAGTGGTTTGCAAAAACTCACATTTAGAGCAGAATGTTATGAAGCTGACAACTGTGATCTGAACTCCTAACAAATATACGTCCAGCACACCAGCATATCAGAGATCAAATGGCATGGTGTATCTGGAACTGTTAAAAGTTTTCAAATGTTTCTGCAACAAAGGTTTTGTGACTGTAGGAGAAATATACTTTCTCATGGAAGAAATAGATTTTACTCTATTTTGTAAGTGTCCTTACTGTAAAAAAATAATTTAAGATAGAGCATATGAAGCATGCACTTGTGCAAAATTCAATGAATTTACACACAAGCGCACAACACAAAGAGGTCACTGCCACCCTAGCCTAGATACAGAATGTTTTCTGCACCCCAAATCGGCCTCTTCTGCTTGTTCCCCATCACCCCATTACCTGGAGGGAAGTACTGCGCTGACTTCTATTACCAGCGATTCATTTTATCTTTTCTTAAACTATGTAAGTGGAATTATTGTCCACTTTTATGTCACACTTTGTTTACTCAATGTCATACTCGTATTTGTCCTTTTATCTTAATTGCTACTTGGCGTTCATTATGTGACTTACTTTCCTGTGGGTTAATATATTGGCACGTATACCTAACGTATCTAAATGGAAATATTTTCTGATAAGCATATCACATATCTTTCTCTTGGGTACTGCTGGGCTGTAGGTTTGGAGCATCTATCGTTGTGGACACAGTGTCAAATGGCATTTGCAAAGTAATTACAGCACTCTATGCTGCCCCCTGCAGTGTTCCAGGGTTCTGGTTGCTCTGCATCCTCATCAGCACTTAGTATTGCAGTCTTTTTAGCTTTAGCTTTTGGGCCACGTATTCCAGGTATTCCGTCCTGAATTACGGGCATTGTTCCTTTACGTCAAACTGTTGCACAAGCCGCTTTGTGCATAACTGGCGGGGACCTGACTATTGTCAGTTCCTCATTGTGGCTTTACGACTCATCTGTCACTTCTTTTCCTTCCTCAGTTGTCACTGGCAGCACTGATGGGATTGGAAAATCATATGCGGAGCAGGTAAGTGACTTCACGATCATTCTTTCTGGCATAAAAACACAGCAATGAATACGGGTTTATCTTAACAGCAGTTTTGCCTTTTGTATGTTAAAAATGCAAATAGCATATGCTGCTGTATGGCATAATAGATGTTTGTTTCAACTTTATTAACTGCTTAAGTAAGCATTTCATTAAAACGAATTTCTGTGTAAAATAAACGTAAAACTTCTATGCTGGTCAGTTGGAATTGCAAAAAATTCTGCATAATTTTAATTTCTGTTATTTAAATATGTGCAGTCATCAGTGTTTGAAATCCATGATTTTGAAATATTTTCTGAAACAAATATTTTGATGGGTTTTTTTCCCAGGCTAGCCTGTGGCATCATTTTCATAAAAATCAACTGTGATTAACAGGAAAATATTGATAATCTCTCACATGCACAGGTGCAGGGACCGTTCTCCACTTCTTTCCCTGGCACATGAACAGGGACCTGGACAGCAAGTGGAGCAGTTGGGACTCAAGCTAGTGCCCAGACAGGATACCAGCATCACAAAGCAGTATCTTATCCGACTGTGCCACTATACTGCTATACTAACGTTCCTTGTAGCTATTTTGTTGTGATTTCAAGATCCAGCTAAGGGATTATACATTGCATTTGGTATCACATCTCTTAGTCGTAACCAATACATGTATAAAGTTCTTTAGCCTTGTTTCCTTAACAAGGACATTTCTGAAAAATCTACCCTAGTCATTTTAGAAGCTTTTTCTATTTTTAACTTTTAGTGTTTATCTAGATACAGTGTGGTTTGTAGACACAGTTCTAAGAACGTGATATTCCCTTCCTTTTTCCTTTCCTTATCCCTCCCCCTCCCTGACCCTTCCCCTTTGACTTCTTCTTCTTTTCTTTCTTATCTTGAACTTACATTGCAGTAAAACATCCTAGTCTCTTTTGAGATTGATTTTTGCTTATTTATTGAAAAAATTTTATTTATTATTTTTATTTGAAAAGTAGAGTTATATAGAGAAAAGGAAAGGTAGAAATCAAATCTTTCATTTACTGGCCAAATGGCAGCAATGGTTGGAGTTGGGCTGGTCCTAATCCATGAGCTAGAACCTTCTGCTGGGACTCCCATGTGGGGTGTTGACTTGGCCATCTTCTGCTGCTTTCCCAGGGCATTTACAGGGAGCTAGATTGGAAGTAGAGCAGCTACTCGAAGTAGTGCCTATATGGGATCCCGATGCCACAAGCAGAGGCTTGATGTGCTATGCCATAACACCAGCCCCAGCCTAACCATTCTTAAAACCATAATTTATTTGAGTTAAAAACCATTGTTTATTTGGAAGTCACAGACAGAAAGAGAGAAATCTTCCATCCTCTGTTTTACTCCCCCAAGTGCTCACAACAACCAGCCCTGGAGTAGGTTGAATCCAGTGATGGGAGTTCAATTTCATGATCCTATGTGGATGGCACGGACCCAGATGCTTGGGCCATCACCTGCCATTTCCCAGGATGCGTAGTGATATGAAGCTGGAATTGAGCAGAGTGGAGCCATGAACCCAGGCACTGCTTCAGGAATTGCACGTGTCCTAAGCAGCATGCTAACTGTGTGTCATATGCCTGTCCCACAACAAACAAGGTTAAGTAGGTGTGCCATGAAGGTAGTATTTATCTTCATGAGTTCATCTTATCAGGAGGCATAAGAAATCCATTTGTTCCATTATTGATTATGCTATGGTAAACTGTTTATTGAGGTGCTACCTACTATGATGCTACATTATAAAGGTAATTAATAAAGACTATGTGGAAGCTGTTTTGAGGCTATAAATTTGCTATTTGCCAACAACCTTTTCTCTGATGTTTTTAAGATGCATGAAGAATTTTTGCCTAATATGGTTCCTAACATGGAGTTTAATCTGTTGATATTCTAATGATGATCCTCCTTCTACACTTAATATAACCTTTTTTAAAATAAATAATTTGTTTTTCTTGGTCTCAAACCCTCTCCTTTTTTTTTTGAAAAACAACAAAATAGGCTAATGGGTTCTTTGGTGCCTTCATAGCAGATTAATTTATTAGTCATTGTTATTTTTATAAAAATATTCTTCCATAGCTTCATTTGCAATACCAGTCATTATTTACTAAAAGATGACTTTAAGATTGAAGATTGGAGTATTAGTTTACTAATTTACTCATGGTTCATAACACTTAATTTCTTGCTCTTTGATATGCTGTCTGGAGTAGTTCAGTAAACCCTTCTGTATGTGCACTGATGATGGTCGTATCCCTCTTCCTTCCAATCTCTGTATTTGTGTGTCTCTATAACTTCTCCTGCCTGTGTGACACATTCCACCAGGGTATATATAGAAGGTGCACCTCAGGAGAGTTTTATTAATCCAGTCAATTAATTACCTGATTTTCCATGGTAAAGACTGACACCCAGATAAAAAATTTTTTAATTTGATTATATTTTTTAAGGACATCCTGACATAGTAATTTTGTTTGCCAACGCTGGTCTTTGTTTTATGCATCTAATCTGCAACAGATCTTTAATTAGGAAAGTAATGGACGTAACTATTTAAGAAATACCAAGGGTAGGTGTTTACCTAGCAGTAACACTGGCTGGGACACCTGGAGCCCCTATTGAAGTGCAGGAGTTCTAGTCCTGGCTCCACTCTCAGGTCCTCTTCCTTCTGTTGGGTACCAAGGGAAACAGCAAGTGATGGCTCAAGCACTTGCTTCTTCCCACTCAGGTGGCAGATCTGAATTGGGTTGTCTATTCTGACTTTGAGTTTAACCCAGCCCCCAACTGTCCTGGGCATCTGAAGGATGAACCAGCTTTTATTCAATAATGCATAATATTGCAAACGAAGGTTTAGAAGAACATTTTTTCATCAAAACAGCAAGGGTAACTAAATTAATCTGCTGTGAAACTGCTGAAGAAACTGTCAACCTATGCTAATATTAAATAAGAGAATCAACAGGGTAGGGAGCCAAAAACTCTGTCCTCTGTCTCTACAATTAAAAACAAAACAACAAAGCAGTATAGCCAGTCAAAATGCAAAGGAAAAGTCTCTCTTAAAACCCTTTGACGTTTGGGGCCCGTGCTGTCATGTGTAAAGTCACTGTCTGCAACATCAGCATGCTGTAAGGATCCTGGTTCAAATCTCAGCTGCTCTACTTCCTGGCCACCCAGCTCCCTGCTTATGCCTTTGAAAGCAGCAGAAGAGGTCCAACTATGAAGGAGAATTAGATGAAACTCTTGCTCCCAACTTCAGCCTGGCCCAGCCTTGGCTTTTATGGCCATTTGGAGAGTGAACCAGCTGTTGAAAAATCTCTGTCTCTTTTTCTCTGTAACTCTGATTTTCAAATATGTATGTGTGTGTGTCTGTGTATTAGGGTAGAAAAAAAAAACCCTTTGACATTTAAATACTGACTTGATTTAAGAAGATGACCATTTGGTGAATCCTTTTTATAAAAGTTTCCAGCTTGGTTTACCTTGGTTGATTGGTTTGTTATCTTTTAAAGATTTATTTTATTTCTATTGGAAAAGCAGATTTAGAGAGAAGAGATTTAGAGAGATTTTGAGCCGTTTGCAGAGAAAAAGATCTTGCATCCGCTGGTTCACTCTCCAAGTGGCCTCGTTGGCCAGAGTTGAGCCAATCCAAAGCCAGGAGCCAGGACTTGTTCTAGGTCTCCCATGCAGGTGTAGACTCCCAAGACTTTGGGCCTTCCTCAGCTGCTTTCTCAGGCCACGAGCAGGGAGCTGGATGGGAAGTGGAGCAGCCGAGACACAAACTGGAGCCCATGTGAGATGACAGTGTGTGCAAGGAAAGGATTTAGCCTTTGAGCCATTGCACTGGGGCCCTGTTTATTTATTTTAATTTAAATTATCAGCTGGTCAGCTTTTCTTGAAATGGGGTTTTATTTAATTTATATTTGGAAGTGAAATGCAAAGTTGTAAATCAGACCTTTTATTTTGCAGCTAGCAAAGCGTGGAATGAAGATTGTTCTTATCAGCAGATCACAGGATAAACTAAGCCAAGTTGCCAGCGAAATAAGTAAGTTCTGATATCAGCATTCATGAGTACGGAAGGATCATAGCCAATCTAAGTTTTCAGCTAGTTATCTAGCACTTGTTGGTTTACAGTTCAGAATGGAATAATTTTTCATACTGTTTGTAATCTGTTTTAAAGATGAGTCATCAATTCTTAAAAATTAGTTTAGGGGCATTGTATTTGTTTTACTGACTTGTTTAAAATTTCCTCTACTGAATCATTTACTTTTCTGTTTTCAAGAGTCAAATTTTCTATCCTGTCCTACTGAAATATTTGAATTTTTCCTTGTTTCATTTCTCACTGTTCCTGATTGTTTTGTACTCTGTTGAGTTGAAGTGTCTCTAATTGTCTAATGTTTAACTGAGGAGAAATATAAAAGGTAGTGTGTGTGCATGTGACTGGGGAAGCATTTTGAACTTTCTTGGTCACCTGTGCTTGAGACTATCTCACCTACCTTACACTTACCCAACCAGCTAGATAAACACATGCTGTGCATTGCCTTGACAAAATGTGCTAACCAGTGTCCCTGGTGGTGAGGAAGCCCGTGGTATGATGCTGGCACGCTTTTACTTTCATAAGTCAAATTGTTGAGCAAACAAGAGTCAGTTGTGTTTTGTTCCTCATTTATGCATTTGTTAGTATTCTGTCAAATAAGTGTAAAAAGGGTATAATTTCGGTAAAAACTAAGTTGAATTGTGAGTACAGTGAGTTGTCTCAGGAATTGGTAGTCTGGTTAATGATAAACGTGACAAACGCGAGATCCTGGTAAAAGAAGGATTTGCCCTCCACTTGTTTCACGTGTGTTGAAGTTTTTGCTGTACTGTGAAAAAACAGGAAGCACAGTAAGTGGGAAATCTGGTCTCCAAAATACGCCTTGACTCACCAGGAGAACTGGTGAATGAATTATACTTGCTTATGATTTAAATGAATATAAGTGAATATAATGTGTGTTTATTTCTGTGAATGTTTGCTTTAATTAGCTTCTCTGAGTGGCCAGCTGACAAATTGTCTCGATTCCTTCAGATGAAAGCAATTTCTATTGTATTGTATTACCACCTAACACCATCATGTGTTTTTTTGGATGTATTTCTTTGCAAGGTATTTTCTCCTTTGATTCTTCCAACGTTGTTGTAGGTAGATTTATTCTTGCAATTATTTCTTTCTAGGCCAGAACTGACCCTATTGGACACATTGCATGTAGGTCATTTCACCTTTTGGTTAAAAAATGGATCTTTTCTAGAAATTTTCAATAATAATCTTTTTTTAAAATCCTGGCTGGGAGCACAAATGCTTATGAAGATAAGGCTGTGGTATATAGATGCATAGTAAGTCTTTGCATTTAAGAACTTGGACATTAGAACTAGAAATACAGTTTTGCTGAGGTAGGACTTTGAATTAAGCCATGACACTATGGGCCCGAGCTAGTTCCTGGGATAACAGGTGAATGTAATATAGGGCCTGTATGTTAGTATTATTTCATTCTTTGCTACTTGTAGTCATGTATATGATATTGCTTAAAATGATTCATTCACATGTGATAAGCGTGCATGTAAATGGCTTATTAGTAAAGGTCCGTTGGCAGAAAATAGAAGCTGTTGGTTAAGAGGAAGGTTGAGGTCTCTGAAATGCCAAGATACAAATGAAAATCCATCATCACTCAAAACAGAAACACTGTCTTGTAACACTATTTCAGCAAGTGCTTCAGCTTGTAGAAAAATTTCCCAGCCAGTCAGAAAATATACATTGGAGAATTTGGTTAACTTTTGATTGTGACATGACATATAACTGCAGAAATGTGATTCTGGAGAAAGATGAATCTTGTTCAAACATTTTTGTGAAAGCACAGATGGTAAAGATTCTGAATTGATCTTTATCAGAAGGATTGATCTCTTTTCCTTTGTTGGATAATTTGAAATGTGTTTTCTGGGCAGGATATAAATTTAATAATTTTTTTAAAAGTGCTCTCAGCAGACTGTATTGTCAGTTCTAAGCTGAAGAAATGCCTGCAGGAGATTTGTAAATTATTTAGATGTAAGTCATCCTTTGGGAGGAGGGTGTTTTTCAGGAATACATCTATTCTAGAAGGACCAGGATTTAAAGTTGATGCCTTTAACATGTCTTTATTGAATGCCAGGTCCTGTGCTAGGCAATCCAGATACAAAAGTAAATACATTTGCATGTAGTTCTTACTTTCATAGAGGTTAGATCCCAGTGGAGAAGACAGCAAAAAGAAATAGGTTCAAGAAATACAGCCCAGCACAGTAGCCTAGTGGCTAAAGTCCTCACCTTGCATGTGTTGGTTTGTGTCTTGGCCGTTCCACTTTCTTTCCCTGCTTGTGGCCTGGGAAAGCAGCTGAGGATAGCTCAAAGCCTTGGGACCCTGTAACCGAGTGGGAGACCCAGAAGAAGCTCCTGGTTCCTGGCTTCGGATTAGCTGAGTTGTGGTCAGTGTGGCTGCTTGGGAAGTGAACCAGTGGATGAAAGATCTTTCTCTGTCTCCTCTTCTCTCTGTAAATCTGACTTTCCAATTAAAATCTTTAGGGAGCTAGAAAAATAGTCTAACTGGGACTTGAACTGGCACTCTGATGTGGGATGTCGACATGCCAACAGTGGCTTGGGTGGTATGGCTTGACCCTTTGTATCACAACGCTGTCACCCATTCCCTCCCCTGGCCAGTTTTATGCTAATTGTTAATGAATAAAGGGAGGAGAATTAATCCAATTATGAAATCAGTAGTGGAATCTTTGGGAAATTATCAGAATAAGTTGCTGGAATTGAGCACTTATATTTGGATCATGGTTGCACTAAATGACATGAAGCTCAAGCTTGCACCTGGCTTGCCATGTGGTTAAGCTCCACCACTGCCAGCCTCTACCCTTCGCAGACGAAAGACTAATAGGGCGATCTAATGTTGGACTGTGAACTTCCACAACATCAACAGAGAGAAACTTTTTGCTTTTCTAAGTAGCTTCTCCCTGGTATTTAGTTGTATCACAAAGTTAACACACTTAGTGATGGAAGTTTTCTCTGAAGCTTTTCCAGGATTGTGTATGTGTAAGCCACACCCAAAATATTCACTCTGACATTTATATGTCTTAACCCTTTAGATCCCTGATTCTATGTAGTGCCAGGGAAGTTGAAGTTTCACAGTTGCATTAATGTTGACTCTCATAGAATGCAAGTTTCAGTTAACAAGCCAAGTTAACTGTTACACCTTTCCCAGTCATATGGGCTAAATCATTAAATGCTAATTACCTGATGATCATTAAATACTATATATTAAAAATTTGGCCTGATTTGATGTTAGGTTTTGATTTCCCTGATCCAATATTCTTACAGCCCATTCTTACTCCAATATGCATTAGCAAATTCTGCAGTTATTTTTGTGTTTAAGTTACAGGTTTGCACGTATGACTGTGTACATATTGCCTAGAGAATGATGTGATTTACTGCTGTTACTGGTGGTAGAAAAACAAGGTTGGGGCCCTTACGGAGGAGAAGGGCCCTCTCTGGCAGAGCCTGTTGTGAGCATATGCAGTTCATGATGAGGTTATTGTAGGGCTTTAAAACAGGTTAGCCTGGATCGTCAAAGATGTTAGGATGAGAACAGCTGTTTCACAGAACAGTTTCGAGTTATGTTCAGATTAGCTTGGGGATTCCAGGTTTTCAGTGTTAGCCTAGCCCACCCAGATTTTCCAAACCCATGTCTGAAAGCATCACCCTCTTTCATTCAGAGCTTTTGCTTTCCTCCATAATGTCGTGAGCTTATGCAATCAGGATAAGACTTCATTGTTAGTCTGCAATTGGCACATGTTTTCATTAGGGTCACTATAGAAGGTCTCTGCTTATTGTAAAATGTGAGGTGAAAGTTTGTTAGAGCTTATCAGTTTTCTTTCTGCACATTTTGCTCCAATCCATTCTCCACCAACTGTCTTTGTACTCATCGTTTCTGCCAAACTCAAGTATAATAGCCACTGGGTTCTGAAAAAAAAAAAAACACATCTTCAACAGTTTATTCACTAGAGTCAGCAACCAGAGTGAAACTGATTAATTGTGATGCTACTTACTGAATCAAAGACCACTAGGGTCCCCTCTCCCTTGATACTAAATTCCTGTCAATTAGAGTACCATAAGGAAGCAGAAGTCACACTAGTGAGTTTAATAAGACTGATTTGTCACTTCCTGCCCAGCACTGACACGCCCATGAGTTAAACTCTCCCCTCCTACTTACCTTGTCTGACTTTCCTAAAAGAAGAAAAAAAAAAAAAAAAGAAGAGATGGAAGAGGTGGTTGCTTGCTGATTGAAGACTTTTTGTTTTTTTATTTTTTTGACTCTGCTTTCCTGCCTCTCTTGACAGGTAAATCTGAGTACCTTGTGCCTTTATAAGCAGTTCCTTGTGAATGTAGAGGGCAGCCTTTTGATAAAAGCCAAAGTTCTTTGGAATAATTTGAAAGGATTCTATGGCGTTTAGCAGGGAACTAAATGTTTCACCAACAATAGATAAGTGCTTTGTCAGGACTGACTGCTTTGATGGAATTATAGTTCTTCCCAAGGATACCTGTCACCCTACAATGAAGACAAGCTGGAAGTCATCGCAGATATAAGACGCTTATTTTATTATCATTGTTGGCCAGGATTACTTAGATATTAAGTACTTTTCCTGAGTTTGAAAAGAAAAGTCTTCCTATGTAATTTTTAACACTGAGCTGAGATTTTGCTCGTAGGAAAGCATCATACAATGAAAATGAGCTTTCCTGACAACCTGTTGGCTTACAGAATATAGAGACGGATACTTAGAATCCATGTGATCACATGATCATAGAGCAGTCATGATTCTTACTGGATACAGTTTAATTGGCTTTGATTTTAAAAATACCTCATGATTGTGTCTTTGGTAAAAACCAATCACTCTCTGTTTCTCTTTCTCTCTCATTACTTACCAAGATAAAAAGCTACAAGTTGGTTCTGTAATTCTATTACTCCTCTTTTCAAATATAGAGCA